GGGAATAAGGGGCTGGGGGGAACCTGGGAATGAGGGGGGGATGCGGGGCCTGGGGGGAACACCTCCCCTGGGGGGCTCGGCCCAGGAGAGGAGGGAACTCGGCTCGGCAGCCCCACCAAGGGCTGGGTCCTTCTGGGCCTCACTCACCCAAACTGGGCCCAGATGCCTGTGGGGACTGTGGGTGCTGGGAGAGAGGGTTCGAGGGAATAAATATTGGAAATAAACCGTCATGACTTGGGTGTTTCCCCATCCCTGGCAGTGTTGAAGGGCAGGTTGGACGGGGCTTGGAGCAACCTGGGCTGGTGGGAGGTGTCCCTGCCCATGCAGGGGGTTGGAAGCTGATGATCTCTAAGGTCCTTCCAGCCTAAACCAGTCTGGGATTCCATGTTACAGACCTAATGCCACTGTAGGTGCCCTGTTCCAGGCTCACAGGAAGGTAATAAGGTCCTTTTATTTGTGACAAAGCCAACACGTTTTGGAAAAATATGACTACAAGTTTTTCCCAAGAGGCAGAACTCTGTTTTCAGAAGGGGTGAGGCAGCGATTGCAAACTGCCCACCCTACAAAAGCTGAAGAGAGATCTTCATAAAACCCTTTTTACCTTCTCATTTCTCTCCTTGATTTGGAAGAAATCACAAGCAAAAGGCAAGCCAGGCTTTCAGCAGCTCATCATACAAAAACGTGGTGCAAGAGCAGCTGTACAACAGATCACAGCAAAAGGCTCCCTGCACTGTGCTGGGTGAGCCACCAACCCAGCTCTGACACTTCCCAGTGCATTTAAGAGCAGCTTAAAGTTGACTAAGGTTTCTAAAGAACCTGCTTAGGAGCCAAGTAACTTCTTTGGAACAACTGAAATCTTGAGATGACAGCACTCTCTTTAGTCACAAAAATCTATTTACCAACAAAATAATTCATGTTCCTTTACCAGCAGAGCTTGATCATCTTTGATTTCTTGAATTCACCTCATTCAAAGTGTTGCTCAGAAAGCAGGGTGTCAGGTAAATTGCTTCAAGTGCCCAACAGTCTGAATCCAGAGAAAACTCCAGGTATTGGGTAAAACCTGAGCCTGGGAATCACTGAAATGAGGCCTCTCTCTCAACAGTCAAGAGAGCTGCAGAAACTGTGAAGCAGAGGAAGCTTTGCTAATTGTGTACAGTTTGATTTAAAAGATACCCAGCACTGCCTACTCTTAAATTATCTTGGTGCTGCTGGGGAAAAGAGACAGAAGGTAACAGAAATAAAAACAACACAAGGCAGACACAGTTACAAGGCCAGTTACCACTTCCCAACACACCAATACTGATCTCTCCTGCAACACAATGAACACAGCATCAAATACGTTATTTACCCTTAAATAGAACAACTTTATTCAATCAAATCCAAGATGATTCCAAAACCATTCCTTAGGACTGGCTTGTAGGATTGTGTTTGCTGTTTTCCCCTATTCAAAATCCCTTTATGTTGGCTTAGGGAAAAAAAAAAAAAATCTTTGGAATTTTATTTTAAAAAGCATTTTGTTGGGAAAACAGTGAGAAGGTGAGAATAGCAATTTTTTTAAACATCCTTTTCTATTTCTCCCACAAAACTCAGTGGAAGGGTGAGAAGTTACACCAATACTTTGCTCTACTTTATAAAAATGGGAATCAAGTGTGACTTCCAAGTAACCTTGACAGCAAACATGTCATGAGCTGCGAGTGACTAAAAATGCAGAGTTTTAAGACCAGTTGCCAGTCACACTCCAGTCCTACCCAGCACGCTGGGCACAGCACCCCAGGCCTCACAAAACAATTTACAGTTCTTTTTATTTCAGTAAAGGTTGAAATAATTTTACTCTGAAGATTTCTGGCTCAGGGGCCTAAAGGCTGAATCCCCCCCCTGGCTGTGAGGGAACCAGTAGGAACCATATTATGACAAAACTGGCTGAAGTGGATGGAAATGTCCTGTCCCCTGAGCACATCAGGAGCTCGTCCTGAAGAACAGGCCACAATCCCAGGGCTGCATTTTGAAAGTATGAACATCTTTTGCTTTATAGAAAAGTTATGTTTCCAGCCAGAAGTCTCTTCTGAGTTAACAGACAAGTTTGTGGGCGACCTTCAAGATCCAAATAACCTAGTGGATGCAAGAGAAAAGGAGATGAGAGGCAGGTACAGGTGTGAACAGTCACACCAGGGCTGTTCCTCACCACCACCCCACTCATCAGAGCAGAGCTAGAGAAGGAAAGGAAAGCAGCCCTCTGGCCTGATGCCACAGCTAAAACCCCTTGTTTCCACAGACTATTCTCAAAGCTGATTCCACTCTATCACTTGGTGGGGTTTCCCCCTCCTCCTCTACAATTAAAAACAGCCCAAAAGTTGACCCAAATGGTGATTTATCTGAGCAACACACAACGAGGAGCACTCCCTCTCAGGCTAAATGAGAACATTTTCATGCAGCACATAAGCAACAATCTGTGAGGTCAACCAATGTCTTTGGAAGATTAAAATAAACAAGCAAAAGGAACAGGAATTATGGAGCAACGGGAGTGAAAGCGACCCAAGAAGAAATGCATGTGCAAGAAACCCTCCAACAGAAATGACCACGACAAGGTGCTGCCCAGTGTTACTTACACGATCATGCAGAACATCATGAAGACATTCCACAAGGCAATGAAGATTCGAAAATACCTCAGACTCAGCAAGAACTCTCTGATATTGTCACCTAAAAATCAAAAGATTAAACCCTTGAAGTAAAAAAATACCCAACAAACGACGTTTTCAACACTGCCTGAAAAACAGAATCAACTCTGACACAGAAAAGAACCCAAAACGGGCAGAGAACAAAAAAACTACAAGTTGAAGTTTTAGGTCAATGATCCATAAGTGCATCCCTACTAAGGGCACGTGGGAAAATAAATAATAACTGATAAAAAGGGGTCACGCTATGAAAAAAAAAAAAGGACAGCCCTGTTGTAGTTCCCAGCCTTCCTGCCACCTTCTTGTATTTTTTCTCATACGACCCATTTGGGTAAACGTGTGTAAACACGGATGAAGATTTTAGGTTGGAATGTAGCAATTCCAGGCACCGAGTAATTCCCATCCAAACCAAATGGGGTTTCAACGCGTCCTGGAGTGCCCCTGAAAAGGGCGTTAAGCAGGAATTTTCCCCTCAGGAAACGCCCGTTCCTGGGGGGTCTTTCCGAAGGGAGGGGCGGCCCGTGGCGTCCCGGCTGCCCCCGTTACCGGTGGTGGGTTCCCTGGTGTCCTCGCCGAAGCCTTCCGTGCCTTT